CTGCTCAGTAAGCAAAAAACGGTTGCTCTAAGGCCACCGAGCCCCTCATATCACATAATACCGTTGCTCAAATTTGTGTATCCATTCAAACCCGGAACCAACGACAACAACGAGTTGCAAAATACACGATACACAAGCGATTTTACCATAAATCTCTTTGATATGTAAGGACCTGGGACCGCGTTTTTCTGCTCAGTAAGCAGGCCACTGTAACCGACGATCTTTCAAATCCGAAAACTAAAAACTACGAAAAAGTACTTAGGCCTTCATTAAGTTCCACTTTCACGCGACGTTCAATGACAGGGTCCTATCCAGGATTACATCTGAAAAATCCAAATCTGGCCAACGCCCACCTAAACCTGTTCTAATCCACCTGAAATGACTAACGAATGGAAGACTTTGACTACCCAGCCATGCAATAGTCTCATTCCCTGCCTTATGGCAACTTGATGATTCTATTGCGCTCATCTTTTGGCACCACCCAGGGGAGACTTGGTCCTGTACCCAATGCTTAACTTATCTCCATTCCACTCAGCTACTCGCAATTTCTTGTGGGCGGAATATTATTATATGAGACAATTCAATGCAGACGTCTTTCCAAATTTGGCAGATCGACAGGTAATCGGTGAGTTACCACGATAGTCGCTATTCAACAACTCGCAACGTCCCATCGTCAACGCCTGCTATGAGAATTTCCCATTGCAGACGCCAACGAAATGATGTCATCGAGCTATCGATCAACTACCCTGGTTATCGCCTGGTACCTTATAGCACGATGCTAGGAGGCGAACCGGAAGAATCGATGAGCTACCTCCCCCCTTTCGACCAATTTGGCGCTAGTATCAATAAATTTTCTGTTGAAAATTGCCACTTGGCGCTACTAGCACTTAGTATCTAGTGTAATTTGTGCAACGCCAGCGCCATCATGTTGTCAAAGAGGGTTTTTAAGTGGGGAAGTCGCCGTTAGTGGCACTTAAGTCGAATAGGAATCTTTACACAAGTTTTTAGAGAAATTTTGTTCGAGCCTCCATGTCTGTTCTCTGTGATATCATGGACAATTGAGAAGCTTGAAAGAAACAAAGTGGAAATGGATATCCGAGTATCAGCAAGCTTTCGAAAAGTTCAAGATAGTTCTTCAATCAAACTTGTTGTTGACACACTACGACCCCAAGCTGCCTATCATCGTGGCAGCAGACGCATCAAGCACTGACATCGGGGCAGTAATCTTTCCCCAGTTTCCCGATGGCATCATGAAATGAAGGTTGTGCAACACGCTTCGAGGACCCTTGCACCCGCAGAACGTAATTATGGACAACCTAAAAAGGAAGGACTTGCGTTAGTCTACGCATTGACGAAGTTCCATAAGTATTTGCTCGGACGACATTTCACATTGTTGGTTGACCGACCACAAGCCATTGCTGTCTATTTTCGGTTCGAAAAAGAGCATTCCACTGAACACTGCGAACAGACTGCAACGCTGGGCACTCACGATGCTCAATTATGACTTCGAAATTCAACATGTGTCCACCAACGACTTCGGATGAGCAGATTTGTTATCCCGGCTCATCGACCGAACCCCAATCCACCAGAGGAAGAATTTGTGATTGCAGCACTTCGAAAGGCTACAGCAACAAACAGCACTCTTCAAACCGCGGCAAAGCATATCCATATCCATGATGGTTGTCCCAACAAAACTCTCTTCGATGTTGAAGTTCAACCCTACTACAACAGACGAGAATCGCTCAGTGTAATCGACGGCTGCGTGATGTTCGGCGATAGAGTCGTCATTCCCAACATGTTTCGACGAAGGATCCTGCAACAATTCCACCGTGGTCATCCAGGAACGGTTCGTATGAAGGCAATTGCAAGAAGCTTTGTATACTGGCCCGGTATGGATAACGAGATTGAGAAAGATAGCTTGATAATGTGAAGTATGGTGACGCTTTGGCCTGCTCTTCTGAAGAGGCAGCTAATCTTTTTTCGACCTTCTTTCAAAGTGTGTTTAATGCGGAGTCGCCCCAACCTCACCCGGGTTGTTTTCAAAATGTGCCATCCCATGATATCCACCTTCCTTTTTTCAATTTTTCTCGTGAGGAAGTGTTGAGAGCGTTAGCCAAACTAGATGCGTCGAAAGGAGCCGGAGTCGACGGTTTAACTCCAACACTGCTGAAGAATTGCGCCGAGTCTATAGTTAAACCTTTGACGATACTGTTCAATCGATCGTTAAATGAAAAAACATTCCCAGGTTTATGGAAAACTGCCAAAATGATTCCCATCCACAAATCGGGTAGCGTGCGGCACGTTGAAGAAAGCTCTTTGAATCCTTGGTCCACGAGGTCTTACTGTCTGCAGCAAAACCGATAATTTCGGAATACCAGCATGGATTCGTTCCCCATCGCTCTGCAACAACCAACTTATTATGCTACACCAACGTTTTGTTTCGTGAGATTGAAAGCCGGAATCAAGTGGACTCTGTATACATTGATTTTTCGAAAGCATTTGATACTGTTCCGCATAGCTATGCCGTGGAAAAGCTGAGACATATGGGTTTTCCCGATTGGATAGCCGACTGGCTAATGTCTTACCTGACTGGTAGGAAAGCATTCGTCCAGGTGAACTCAGCACGATCCAGGACCTTCTACATTCCATCTGGAGTTCCACAAGGGAGTGTGTTAGGTCCATTGATCTTTGTGCTCTTCATCAATGACTTGTGCCTGCAAATATCTTCTGGAAAGTTGTTTTTTGCCGACGACCTCAAAATCTTCAGACTCATCAAGTCTGTTTTGGACTGTGTTGCTCTGCAGATTGACATCGATGCCCTTTCACGATGGTGCAAGGAAAATGGAATGTGCGTGAACATCAATAAGTGCAAGGTGATCACTTTTAGCCGTTGTTGGATTCCCATCAATCATCTTTACAATATTGACACTGCTCCGCTGGAACGTGTGCAGTCTATCCGTGATTTAGGAGTTATCATGGATTGTAAGCTTCGATTCAACGAACATATATCCACCGTTACTGCCAAAGCCTTCTCCGTTCTTGGGTTCATTCGCCGCAATGCATCTCAATTCACCGACGTGCACACATTAAAAGCCTTGTTCTGTGGTTTAGTGCGAAGTATCCTGGAATATGCTGCTCCCATTTGGGCACCGTACCATACATCTCAGGTGATCCGCATCGAACGTGTGCAGAAATCATTCATTCGCTTTGCTCTTCGGCACCTACCGTGGAATGATCCTGTCCATCTACCTGCATATCCAGAACGATGTCAACTAATTGATCTGGAACTGCTATCGGCAAGACGGCTGAAATTGCAGCGGCTGGTTATATTCGATATCGTCCAGAATAACGTCGACTGTTCGGATCTTCTCCTGCAAGTATCACTGAACGTTCCACAGCGTCAGCTGCGGTACTCAGCACTTATCGCAGTTCCCGCACATAGAACATGTTATGGTCATAACAACCCGCTCAGTTCTTGCCTCAGAGCTTTCAACAATGTTAGTGATTTGTTTGATTTTAATGTGTCCAAAAATTGTTTTAAAAATAGGATTAAAAACATAGCATAAGTTAAACTAGTCTGTACGACACTGTCGAAGACGAAGAACAAATAAACAATAAACAATAAATACTAAAGATGTTTCTTTATTCAAGGTCTAACGCATGCTTGGCATACACAGTTTTGCTCACGAACTGCTCATTTGCTAATAACTTTGCACAAAGTAGACAAAACATAGTTCTGTTTGAAGCAGTCGATAGAATAGAGTTTAAGCTTTTTATAGATATGTAAAAAAGGGAGATTTTAATTCTAGTAATAACCTGTATTTGATTTTGCGTTGCAAAAATGAAGTGAGCAATGCTCGCTGCACATCTCGGTGTAAACATTCATTGGTGTTGATTCAAATGATACGATTTACCTACTCTTTGCATGTCTACAGTAAACTATGATCCTAATCTATCAATTACTTTAAAGAAAACTAAATTTCAACAACTGAGTGAAAAGTTATTAACAAATGAGCATAACGTATAATCGTAACTAACGCATAACGTATAATCCTCAATATTAACCAAAGTAAACCGCCCAGGATGGAAGTCTTTCACATTGGCCCTTCGCCCGACTAATAAGTAAAAGTAAGTTTCATATCAAATCATCGCAAGCACTAAACTATAATTTGGGAAGGAAAGGGTTATTAAGCGTGACATTGTTCAAATAAACGTTACTATTACACAGAAAATATTGTAAAACAATCAATACAAGCAAATTTATTTAATGAACAGTTGAACATATCTGCACTTACCCTTGACCTTGCACCGCCACTTTTCTCTTGGAATTGGTGATACACGCACTAAAAATCATATCACTTTTCGTCAAATAGCCAGTAAGTTGAGAGACCTGTAACAGAAAGAGAAAGACATCAGGAACGTTGTTGGGATATGTTGATAGAAGAAAACCAAACACTATACAGCAGATGCCGGTTTTAGACTTTCAGGTTGAGTATAACTGGCGCAATGAAAAATTTATTATCGTAGGTATTCTCTGTTTCCTCCTCTCTTGTTTGCTTATTTCTCTTTGACTCTTTTTTTCTCGAATATGATTACAATTGCATCATGTAGCATCTTCTTTCTCTTTTCCTATTATTTATTCCTCTGTTTTGCTATGTATTTGTGTACATTATATAATCGCGCTCTATTTCTTTTCCATTTCGTCGATTATTGTTAAATCCTTTCTTTTTTGCTTTGCTTTGTTGCCTTCCGATCTGTTTTCGAGTTTCCATTTGCACTGCTAACACCTTACCATAATACACATGGTTTTATTAAATAGAAGAACTTGTTTTTTTTTCTTATTCGTGTGTGAATATGTTTTACTTTAATTAGTATTAGATTGTTTTTTGATTACTTTTTTTTCCAATTGATTTTTTTTTTGTGTACGACGAAAAAGAAATTACCACACAATTGCAGGACAAAAACATAACAGACATACTTTGGAAATTTCAGTGATAGGATTTTTATGCTTTGCGTAATCAGTTTCCGTTGCAAATCGAAATAGTAACACGTAATATAGATATATATGTGTATTTATTTGTAATGAGGAAAACGTTACTTTCTGGTTTTTCTAATACCTGTCGATTATGATACTGCTCCTCACGTCCTTGCGTGAGTGTTTATGTATGTGTATGTGTGTGTGACCGTGCACCACCGTTTGATTCCGTGAGGGTGAGAGAGTGATCGTGTTTTTGTATTGGTGTATCGTAGGCGATATTTGAACTATATATCTATATATATATAGTTTTTTTTTTACTATTTATAATTGGGCTGTGTTGCTTCGAAGTTTTTGTTTGCTCTGCTGCAAAGTTTGTATTTTGAATTTTTAAAGTTTATGGTATTGGTTTTTGATTTCTGTCGCCCCGCTGATTCTCTAACTGTTCGCACACAAAGTCCCGAAACACAACTAGTTTTATGGTTATGTGTTTCTTTTTTTTCTTCTGAGCACGCTGGTATCGCCGCTGACGCTCGCAGCTTCACAAAATCCAGCAGCGTTTGGTTATTGTTTGTTTGTTTGCTTTTGTGGTATTTCTTTCTTCTCACTAAAGGTAAAGATATACTTCAAACAATGGCGATAACACTTACTTCATACCTGCAAGTAGAGTTTATGTAATTTGTATGTATTCAAAAGTTACAAACATTCAAATATGAAGGATGACAGGTTTAAAATAAATGAACCAAGGAACTTAGGTAAAATGGAAAATTAATATTTACTCTATAATCAGTTCAGAACTAATGTGGTTTAAATCATGGATGCATTGAAACAAACATTTTTGAAGGAGTATCATTGAATTTACCATTATTTTAGTTTCGCATCATAAGATGATATTATCCGGGTTGAACTTTTAATGGCCTTTTTCGATAGTTGATATTGGGGAAGAATTTTCAATTTATTATTTGGAAATAATGTAACCATTCAATCTAGTTTGGAAAGACATTGACACTAGAAATACCTTATTGGGAGTGAAGCGAGGGGAAATCCACGGATCAAATTGTTTGCTGCAGCCAAATGAGGCAGTATTTATTTTCAAAGTGTTTTTATGTTACTTCATACGCGAAGTTTGAGATTTTCAGAGTTGGTTGGAAATGCTATCTAGAATGAACCTTTAGTGTGATAATTTATTAGCTAGAGAATGATCTTTAGAAGAGGGTAGGTGGATAGTTGCGTTAGAGTACGGCAGTATGAAAATTGAATAGAAGTTGAAAATGAGCAAAGGCGGGCGCACACTTTTTGCCTGTAGATTTGAAGACATACTTCAAATCTCTGCGTACGTTGTACGGGTTAGGCAAAAGGTGTGCGTTTGACTTTGTACTGTCGCTTTAATGGCCCTTCGCTAATTTTCAACTACTATTCAATTTTCATACTGCCGTACTCTAACGGAACTATCCACCTACCCTTTTCTAAGATCATTCTCTGGATAATAAATTATCACACTAAAGCTTCATTTTAGATAGCATTTCCAACCAACCCCAGTATTTATTTATTTAAAAAAAAAATATTGACAATATGCCAAACGACTGTTAAATAGGCATCCTCCGAGAACAACTCCAGGTGAATGCTGAGAAACGTTATAAGTAGAATTTATAATCAAATCAGCAAATCATTTACATTCATTTCGTGCATTCATTTACATTAATTTGCCTCTAACTTTTTCCATCAACAGAATGCCGTAAAATGATGTATGAAGCTTTTGTAGATTTTGATATTAGCTATAATAAATAAATGTAAATGTTTTGCCAATATAATGAAAAGTCCAGGAACACTGACAAGCATTCCAAGGGAATTCCGAACCACATTATCCGATTCAAACCACGAAGAATCAAAACATTTGTCTATATGGACCATAGCATGCTATAATTACAATTGGCATTAAAATTCATTTTTTTTTTTAATTTTACCATGTGAAAAATCAAAATTTTGGTAGGTTTTTTTTTACCCGGTACTGCCCTAATAAACGTGTACTGTTCTTCGGTGATATGGTAGCCGTTTGCACTGTCCTTCTTTTCAGCGCGAAGAGAGTGAAAATTTACTAACCGAGAGATCCCAACTCTCACGGTTTCACGCTCCGTTCCTATTTTCTCATCAGTGCTGCCCGTAGAAACTCGAATGAGAACGAATCTCTCATCAGGGTGCTCTATTTCCGAGAATTTATCATCCTCTCTCAAGCTCTTAACTTCCGAGCAGAATAGATGTGTGTATCGATTTCGTCTGCGGAAGCCATTTGCCGGCTATTTACTGATGAACTTTCAATGTAAAGGGTGATACGGTCAAAATTTGGTCAATATCAACTTGACGTATTTCTTTCAATTTTGCATTTAAAAAACCTGAACATCCCTCATTTTGAAGATGTGTGTGTGTAGAATGTTGCTCCTATTTTGATTTTGGAATACACTCTTCAGTTGTCAAAATGCCGTCCAAGCAAGAAGAGCAGCGTATCAAAATTTTGCTCGCGCATCGCGAAAATCCGAGCTACTCGCACGCAAAGTTGGCAAAATCGCTAAAAGTTGCCAAATCAACCGTTACAAATGTAATTAAAGTGTTTGGGGAACGTTTGTCGACAGCCAGGAAGTCTGGATCGGGGGGAAATCGAAAACCGGAAGCCGCTGAGACGACAAAGAGAGTTGCCGGTAGTTTCAAGCGAAACCCTAACCTCTCTCTCCGAGATGCCGCAAATAAGCTGGGTGTATCGTCTACAACCGTGCAAAGAGCCAAAAAACGAGCCGGACTATCGACTTACAAGAAGGTAGTGACTCCAAATCGCGATGATAAACAAAATACGACGGCCAAAGCGCGATCCCGGAGGCTGTACACGACGATGCTGACGAAGTTTGACTGCGTGGTAATGGACGACGAAACCTACGTCAAAGCCGACTACAAGCAGCTTCCGGGACAGGAGTTTTATACGGCAAAAGGAAGGGGAAAGGTAGCAGATGTTTTCAAGCACATGAAACTGTCAAAGTTCGCAAAGAAATATCTGGTTTGGCAAGCCATGTGGCTTGAAAAGCAGCATTTTCACAGCTTCCGGGACTGTCAACCAAGAAATTTACGTGAAAGAGTGTTTGAATAAACGTCTGCTGCCTTTCCTGAAGAAACACGGTTGTTCCGTACTGTTTTGGCCGGATTTGGCATCTTGCCATTACGGTAAAAAGGCCATGGAGTGGTACGCCGCCAACAACGTGCAGGTGGTTCCCAAGGACAAGAACCCTCCCAACACGCCAGAGCTCCGCCCAATTGAGAAATACTGGGCTATTGTCAAGCGGAACCTAAAGAAGACTAAAAAACTGCTAAGGGCGAGCAGCAGTTCAAGGCAAACTGGCTTTCTGCGGCGAAGAAGGTGGACAAGGTGGCTGTACAAAATCTGATGGCAGGGGTCAAGCGTAAGGCCCGGCAATTCGGATTTGGAAAAGCGGAAGCCTAACTGAATATTTTTCCTGAATTTTATACTAATTGAACTTGAAAAAGAAATTTAATTTGATTTTTTAAATAAACGATTTCACCGATTTACACGCGTTTTCCCTTGACCAAATTTTGACCGTATCACCCTTTAAGTGAGTTTCGTGAGTTACGAAAACACATTTTTTTGTATAGACTATGCGAATGTGCCGAAGAAGTTATCTTCGAGGTGGTCCACCAGTTCGTCAAAGCCGCGGGTCTTGAAATTACGCAAAAAGTTGTCTCTTCAATCAGTCCGAAGACGTCACGCAAACCTGCCGATACTGTGGCGAGTAAAGAGCCTGAATTTATAAAGATACGACATCTTATCCATTTGACAGGTCTTCTGCTCGATTGGAATAACTTTTCCTTTGACTTTGACAGATAGTCGATTGTTCCAATGTTGACAAGTCGTCTCTTGATAAATTTAGACTCTTTAAGTGGACCCTACACAATTGCTTTCATTGACAATAATCGTATTGTCAATACATTCTATATTGACGTCAATACATCGAGATTGACAATATTTCTGTATTCACATCATCAATATTATTGTCAATAATTCCCCTTCGCGTCAATATATTGATGCATGTGGGGTGTGCTTTAGTGGCGAGTACATACACAGTGGCATCTCGTGTGCGCAGAATAAAAAACTTGCGACGCACAGCTCTTCGTAAGCTGACTTCACAAAAAACCCGAACTCGCCACTTTCAAACCCTCAACGACCGAATCCGCTACGACCAAACCCTCAGCGTCCAATCGAGCCGACGCCCCAAACTCTACCCGTCACACCGAAACCGGGAGCTTAAAAGCAGTTACAGACACAGAATTCAACATCAATAAATCTCGACTACTTTTTCGAAGGGACGTATCAGCTTTTGTAAACAATGCATTTGATCGTCGATTTGGCGTAACTGGTAGCTCGTCCACGCATGCTAGCACTACCATCAGATAGGGGAAATTTTTGCGTGGTCGAGCTACCAGTTCCGCCAAAACGACAATTACATGCATTGTTTACAAAAGCTGATACGTCCCTTTGAAAAAGTAATCGAGAAATGCAGCCTCCCTAGACAGGTAATATCACAGGTGGGCAGGAGCTCACGGTCTCCCAGTGTTGGTGAGTTCTTTGCCGTTAAAAGGGGCGGAAGGACCAAGGCGGCAGGAGGAATGACTTCGTCGGTACAGCGGATGAGGGGGACATGCCAGCTCCCACGATAGGTGAAGTTAAGGATGCTATCCGATAGCTTAAGAACAACAAAGCAGCTGGGAAAGATGGTATCGGAGCGGCCCGGATAAGTTGGCCACTTGTCTGCACCGACTGATAGTCAGGATCTGGGATACAGAACAGCTACTGGAGGGGTGGAAAGAGGGAGTAATATGCCCAGTATATAAAAAAGGCGACAAACTAGAATGTGAGAACTATCGAGCGATCACCATTCTTAACGCGGCCTACAAAGTGCTTTCCCAGATCATCTTTCGCCGTGTATCGCCGCTAGCAAGCAGATTTGTGGGAAGTTATCAAGCCGGTTTTGTGGACGGGCGATCGACAACGCACCAAATCTTTACGTTGCAGCAGATCCTCCAAAAGTGTCGTGAATATCAAGTCCCTACGATTGACCGTGAAGAGCTATGGAAGATCATGGACGAGAACGGTTTTCCCGGAAAGCTGACACCAGACTGATCAGGGCTACGATGGATGGTGTACAGTACTGCGGGGCACGATCTGCAATAAGTCCAGCCAGTTCATCTGCTTCGCTGACGACGTGGACATTGTAGGAAGAACGTTTCAGGCCGTGGCGGAGTAGTACACCAGGCTGAAATGTGAAGCAGAGAACGTTGGATTAAAGGTGAATACGTCGAAGACAAAGTATCTGTTAGCTGGAGGAACCGACCGGGATAGGGCTCGCATAGGCAGTAGCGTGACAATCGACGGAGATGAGTTCGAGGTGGTGGATGAATTTGTGTACCTCGGATCATTGGTGCCGTCGGATAACAACTGCAGCAGAGAAATGCGTCGGCGTATTATTGCCGGAAGTCGTGCTTACTACGGACTCCACAAGACCCTGAGGTCGGGTAAACTTCACCTCCGTAATAAATGTACCATGTACAAGACGCTGATAAGACTGGTAGTTCTCTACTGGCATGAGACGTGGACGATGCTCGAGGAGGACCTGCAAGCATTTGGTGTTTTCGAACGACGAGTGCTTAGGACCATCTTTGGCGGGGTATGTGAGAACGGTGTATGGAGGCGAAGGAGGAACCACGAGCTGGCGCAACTCTATGACGAACCCTGAATCCAGAAAGTTGCGAAAGCTGGACGGGTACGATGGGCGGGACACGTTTTAAGGTTTCCGGACAACAATCCCGCAAAAATGGTGTTTGCCTCGAATCCGGCCGCTACAAGACGAAGAGGAGCACAGCGAGCAAGGTGGTTGGACCAAGTGGAGCAGGATCTTGGAAGTGTGGGACGGTCAAGAAATTGGAGACAATCAGCCACGGACCGAGTGGATTGGCGTAACATTGTGATGCAGGTGCAATCCTGAGGGATGTCGGACCAGGATAAACAAAAACATGACGATAGATTACACTATTGACTATATGTAAAGCTAATAAAATCATCCAGAAAATGGAAAGCCGTGAAATAGGATTAATTTTTAGGTCATCCCAATTCGGAAGCAATTTTCTCGATATGGAGATTTTGGAAATCCGCTCTTTTCAAATGTTAGTCTAGATTTCTTTAAGAGGTTAAAAATTGGCGTTGACGGTGACTCCGTAGCTCTTTACTCCTATGGTAAAATCCATAAGTAAACGTCAGACTGTGTGTGAAACATGGCGAACTTCGTACTATCCTTTCACTCCATCGAAAATTCCCATAAGAAACTGTCAATCCTTGCTCGAAGAGGCGAAATTTTGACGGTGCCGTCAACGCCAATAGCCAACGTCGACCAAGTGAGGAGAGGTACCGCTATCGCTTTAAAAGACCAAATACCATTCTCACATGTCGAAAGATGGTCGCCTGGTCGCTGTGCTTGTTCACAATACCACATTTTGTTGTGTTTATGCCCCGTCAGGAACAGTATGCCGCGCCCAAAGAGAGCGGTTCTTTAAAACCACCATCGCCTATTACCTTCGTCATCGCACCGAGCACGTAATTCTCGCAGGCGACTTTAATTGTGGCGTGGCTAAAATTAAGCCCTGGAGACCCTGGTCACACACGAGGGCGCGGGTTCTGGTCGCTTTGTCCCCATCTCCTCACCAACAAAAATATGGCAGAGTTGCAGACACGTCGCCAAAGACGCAACTACCGGAGCTGGATGGACTGGTGACTGGCGTGTGGTAAGCCACAAAAAATATTTCGTTGGAAGTCGACGATGTTACAGTTACGTCGTGCGCAGCAATCCCTTAATGACCAGCTGCTACTACCAAAATCCGGCAACGTTAACAACAATAAACCGCCTCAAGGGAGAGATGTTCGCTCTGCCAGAGACGCTTCACGAGCATTTCGTAGCAGCAGAAGAGAAAGGACAATAATTGCACGACTGGATGGAGATCGAGGGGAAGTCATGGACGACTCGCAAACCATTCAGAAGCACGTTCATCGGTGTTTCCCGGAGTTGTATTCGGATCCAGCTGGAGAAACAGTTCAAACCGAGGAATTTCAGTGCGACAAGGTCATCCCAGGAAACGAGGCATGCATGGACGCGATCACAAGATGATCGGTATATAATCGGTAGATATATCGGCCACTATAAAATCAAGCGCTTCTAAAAAGTCATCGGGGTCAGACGGAATTCCGAAGGAATTTTATTTCCGAGCATTTGACGTCATCCATCGTGAACTAAATTTTCTTCTGAACGAGCGTCTAATTTTCCATCGGAATTTGTTGACGGTGTTATCGTCTTAGTGAAGAATAAAGGAGCTGATGACACTGCAGGATCGGGCAGGCCTATCATTCTTCTCAATTTCGCCTACAAACTGCTATCTCACATACTAAAAGCGCGCCTAGAAAATATAATGAGACCCCACCACATTCTCAGCAACGCTCAAAAATGCTCGAATGCACACAACAATATCTTCCAAGCCACACTAGACACTGAAGGATAGACGCGCTCATTTGAAGGTACGTAAACAGGTCGGCAACTAGTCTCCTTCGATATGGATCACGCCTTGAATCGAGTAAGACACTCATTTCCCTTTGAGAACATGTGCTCTCTCGGCATCAACGGTCGACTTGTGGATTTGCTCATTTATTTGTATTGCATTTATTTGTATTGCATCTACCCCATTGGTAGACTTCCTCGAGGAATTTTATCGTTTCGGAAGAGTATCCGGAGCTGTGCTCAACCTGAAAAAGACGACGTCCATTGATGTCGGCTTCGTCAACGGTAACCCGATACAAGTGGATTGGATGAGGGCTGCAAACCATTTCAAAATATTGGGTGTGATTTTTGCCAATTCTATACGGCTCATGATCACTCTCAACTGAGATGTACTGGTAGGCAGGGTAGCTCAACAGGTGTGGCTGTATTCGATGCGCACGCTAACCCTTCATCAAAAGGTGTTTCTTCTCAACACCTTCATCACGGCCAAGGTATGGTATCTGTCATCCGTATTGCGTCAATGCAACAATTGTCTTCCCTGCCTAAAAACAATCCGGCCAACATATCCTCGTTTGCCTTTCCAAATCCAACAAAGTCCTTCCTCCGATCAAATCCATCATTTTTACCTCGAACAAACTGACCAACCGCGAGTGGAATTGCGCCAACCTACAGTGAACTGGAGGCGCGTATGGCTCAACATTGGAAGCAGCAAATTTTCATCAACCCAACGTAGCAGCTGGTATTTGCTCGTCAACAAGGAAGTTGAGCACATTTGGACAGCGAGCAGTGCTTACACTGCAATACAGCAACGGAAACACTGAAGCATAAACTGAGCGAGTGACGGCGGCCTCTCTCTTTCGAGGACCTAATACATCCAGTTTTGGAGAGAATAGGCAGAAGACAAATATCTGAAATCCTTTAACATTTTATTAATTATGTCACCTTTATCATAGATTAGGATAACGCAGTAGACGTAGGCGAACTGGATTTTCATTTGAAATGTAATTAGTTTTACACAAAATCAACTAAATGAACTAAATTTTAAACCGTAAAAATAACAAAAATTAAAAAATTAAATTGTTTGTTGTTATGTAAGAAGCTGGGTGGACTAGTAGCGACCGGATTTGCTTATTGAACAGAATATCATGCGTTACGTCGCCAAAACTTGAAGCTAAGCTATGAAACAAAGAAACTCTGAAAAAACTTCTGAAGAAATTTTCAGAAGAATTCCAAGGCGATTTCTCGACCACTCTCACTCACTCAGGTCCCCATTTTTCCACCTCGGTATTTCTAGTGTTCACGATCAATTCCAAACTTTCAATCGGACTGCTTCGAAGCTAGATATGCATACGATCCAAACGAACTTAGTTACCTGGCGTGTAGACCGGTTGGTTGCCGCTGTTGAGGCCTGTGCTCTCGGTTGCCGCCGATCCCGTGAATGGGTTGGTCGGATTCGAAGACGGCGGTGGCATTGCGAACACTGGCATTCCGGCGCCTTGCCCCTGGCCAGCCATTGGCTGTGACGTCACCGGACCACCGCCATTGTCATCCACATCGATAATGTCCTCCTGGAAAAACGGAACTTCAGTTAGTCGATTGAACATGAACTATGCAAAATAAACTAACATATGGGGGATACTTGAAGTACTCGCAGATGGTGTAAGACATATTTGAATAACGACTTTTGTCTTGATTTTGTACAGTTGTGACGTTATCAGTTCCATTACACCACGAGCGAATAAATCAAACCCAAAGCATCAACACGTAGCACATTTATGGAATTAAAATTATAAGCACAGACAAACAGACATAGCACTTTGAATATCATTCATTGTAAACCATCGTTCTTGACGATAAGAACCCTTCCTGGACACTGTACTAAACGGGTATCAACCTCCTGTAATCAAATTAATTATTCGTTCAACACGTTCAACAACGACAGCAACAACAACAAGTGCCATGTCCGATTGTCTGTGTCCAAAGCACCAATCCAAAAACGAGTTATTAGCTTCCCACCAGCACCTTCAGTACGTGTACGTCAAGTAGCCTTTTTACCGAGCGCACGCGTGAGCTAGTATGCATCACCACTTTGGTTCTGTTAAGCAACATCTAGCCATCAACTACATCAAAACAAAACGAAAAATACCTCCCTTTTCAAACACAAAGTTCCACATTTTCATCATTTTCGATGTAGAAATAAAACTAAACCATCTACTTGTTACCATCAAACAACTTTATTACTTTGCCATCTGGAGCTGTCAAGTCGTAAAAGAAAACTAAAACAACAGAATGAAACGTCTGATATACAGAAACTAAGCAAAATTACAAATAGGTTTCCTGCATCTTCAACTACACCGGCTTTATCTTAAACGTTGGAAAATCAGTTCGCAGTTTTGGCATCCATTTTTGTGTCTTTCCATCTACTACTACACGGCTTTGGTTTAACAAAAATTGACTTGCTCTTCTTCATCTTCCTCATCTCACGCGTCACAATCCCTTTTCTAATACTGGTCAAATCAAAACGTTTCCAACTAAGGAAAAAGATACAAAAATAAGAGAATAAATATACCATGAGTTATAGGCGTTGCGATTCGATGGTAATGGAAAATTAAAGGTATATATGAGTGCTCGCTAGTGCTGTAGAATGAAGTATGTTAATGAACCAATGGATTAATGCCGGTGACATCTGGTGTCAGATTTTTTTCGTTTGCTCTTGTATGCAAAATTGTATACAACCTACAACCAAAATCGGCCACTAGATGTCACTATGATATGATCGTATTTAAAACATTATTTAGACCCGTTCGTTTACTCCATTACACTTATACATGATTTATATGGAAAAAAGTATGGTGCATGTGGACAGGAGAAAAAAAACTCAGAATTGTTTGTCAACCTGGAAAAGGTGGGTGTGTGCTGTGGGTGGTGGTGGTGGATGGTGGAAATAATAAGACATGAATTAAAAACCAATAATACATACTCTTCGCGTGGGCTGATCGGTAACTGTTCCTCCTTCACCGGCGTTGGCAGCGTCTCTCTAAACAATTCGAGTATACGTATATGTGAAAGAAAAAAAAAAAGATGCAGAAAAAAAAACAAGTGATAGAGAAATAGGAGCTAACTGGAAACTGCAAATGCACGGCGGTTCTCATTTCTTTATTTTCTACGGAAATTGTTGCGCGCTTGAGCGGTGTCGGGATGTCAGTGATGCAGAACCTTGGGAGGTCAGTGAAAGGATCAACTGCAATACGTGCTTGTGAGAAACTTATAAGTTACGCTTTTTAACCTTATGATTTATTGTTTGTATGGTAGATTTGGTTTAATGCGATGATCGAATGAGGGTACAGTAAAACATGTTCACGAGCTCTTTAATATAATGTTTTGATTAGTATTGAGCAAGGCATCAACAATATCTCCAAATGACTAAATGACAAGCGATCAACGAACTGAACGATAACCAATGAGGTCCATACAGGTGTGGCAGAAGAGGGTATTTGTTGGTATTAGTTGCAAAAAAGATGTAAACAATCGGTGATGTGTTTGAATTTTGCTTCCGTTTTTAACAAATTGTGAAGTTTCTTGCGAACATTGTGTTTTTGCGTATTGGAATGTTTGAATCTGAGAGTGGAACAGTTAGATCCGATCGGAACGGGGATTGTGAGCAAACATCTGGAGGTTCATCGACAATGCTGCAATGACGGTGCGTTTATTCCGATGCACTTCTTCCCGGGACCAGAGCAAGGGGAAACTGATTTTGTTATTATCAGGATTAGAGCTTCCATTCCGGGATGTCCTGGGATGAAAATCCCGGGATTGTTACATTTCCCGGGATTCCCGAATCCCTGGAAATTAATTTGAAAATCCCGGGATCGCGTGTTCCCCGGGATTTTTTAATTTGAGACCCTTTTACCATTTTAAATCTTTCTTGGAATATCTGTAGCAGAATTTGAATCCAGAACATTCACATCTTATGGAATATATATCTTCTCCCTTCGTTTGCCATACATTCTGATTTTTCGAAAAAATTGCACACAGACATCACTTTTTATATATGATCGTTGTACAAGAAGCACTCGTGAAAAATATCAGTATTATCGATATATTCATTCTTGAATTTATGTGTGCATTTTGTTCGTATATTGCGACAAAATACAGGCAGCTTATAAAACGTATCAACTAGATTACAACTAAAACAATAAAAGTTAATATTTTCAACAGGCCAACATCCTGTCTCGTGTCAGTAAGTGAGATAACCACACTCTGAATGTTTCAGCTCTTTTGAAATTTTCATATACAAAATGCTCATATACATTCAAAAGCGAATATCTCAATAAAACTAACTGGATTAGTGATGCAATCTTCAGCAAGGTTGTTACTCATTGTTTGAACTACAAGTTTTGAAAATCTGAATCAAATTGAGAATAAGCAAACTTTTTTTATGGTCGATAGAGTGTAGGAGAGGCATTTTTCCATGTATTTTAACCAAATTCCCCATACAAACTTCAAACTAAAAGCGCCAGCTAATCTTAAAACCAAATGTACTGATACTTTCCGATAATGGTTTTCTCACCCAAAGGCACAAATCTAGAGGTTGGCCCGTGGAAAATTAGAACTTTTATTTTTGTGGGCCAGTCTAATGCATTACCTTTACCCTTTAGTTAGTAATCTATGTAATCCTAAAGCACGGCAATTTTTGTTTTACAAATACATTCATGAGAGAAATTATCCACCATAATCATCATGATCTGCACGGACTAAATTGTGAAATTTGGCTGACAAACATAACATCACGTCCCATTAGGGAACTTCTTAGATGCCAAGAGACACTTATTTGATTTCAGATAACTTCATAGAAGTTCGTGGAACTTCGTAAAAGTTCAGGGACCATCATTGATTTTCAGGATACTTCGTAGAATGATAAACAACTTCGTGGACGATGATTACGGAACATCGCATGAATTATTTGAAATTCGTTCAAGTTCAGCAAGCTGGGCAAACAGTTAGTTGTACCTATCGAAAAATTAAAAAAAATGTAAGCTATGAAAAAATCTTTGAAGTACTGGGAACTTCGAAGAAGTTGACGAAAAATCCCAGGATTTCGTAGAATATTCTACATATTCAGGGAACTTTATAAAGGCTTTGAGTACATGGAACTGAGTTTAAGTTCAAGAAACTTCTTGAAAGTACACGAATCTTCGTATAACTGATATTCACGGATTTGTGATGATATCTCAGGATAGTATTCAAGACTTTCCAACTTAATCAAGTAATGTTCTGAAGATATGCAAGTGTTCAAAAATTCAAAAGACGTCTTTTAGACATCCTTCCCAGACGGAAGTTTGATTAGAGAGTATTTAAAGGACATACAGCTGGTCGGAGATTTAAAGGCCTCTGGATATTTTTCAAGACTCCAGGTCGATCAATTATTATTCTTAAGATTTTCAACTGTTCGTAAAATTCAAATAACGTTTCTAGATAGTCTCTCAAGATTACTGGTTGGTCAGATATTAGTAAATTCAGATTGATCAGAAAATCTGAAGATCTTAAACTGGTCAAACATTCAATTGGCTCTCTCATGATGGCAGATCGGTAAGGCAGTACTTAAAAGATCTCCAGCTGATCGAAGATTTTAATAAAGTCCTCTGGATATTTTTCAAGGCTTCAGGTTGATCAAGTATTATTGTGAAGATATTCTCCCAAAACTGAACGTTGATCAGGAAGTATTCAAAAGATCTCCAGCTAATCGAATATTTCCGTAAAGTCCTGTGATTATTCAATTGGATCAAGTTTTATTCTGCAATATCCGATTTTGGCTACATTATTCATATTCAACATATTCAGGAAGAAGCTTACAATATGAAATCAAAACTTAATTTATTTAACAAAAATCATCATATGCCAGCTTACAATTTAAAAAAAAAAATCCATGGCAAGTCTGCTTCAGCTTCCGCATGTCTTGAAACAACTTCACGTACCATGAAATGTCTTCAAAATACATTCACAGGATTTTAAATGTCTTTAAAATGAAGATATGTCGTTAAATCTGGTGTCCCTAGTATTGAAAAAACCTTCTTTTTTAATTATTCTTCTAAAGAGATGAATTTATATTTCAGAACATCGTTAAAAGAAATTAGAAACATACGAATATTAAAACAATTTACTATCTTTATTGACTTCCCGGGATCCCGGGATATCAAATAAATATTTCCCGAATCCCGGGATGGTGGAAACCACCGGGAAATGGAAGCTCTAATCAGGATCAAGGAGATGGAGCTCCATTTGCGAGAACAATTGATCTTAAGAATCACGAAGAGGCGGGCTAGCTACAGATCATTCGGGTGAGATCCTTCCTATTGTATTTATACAAACTTTACCAAATTATTTTCCAGTGTATAAATTGAGGAGCTCGGCTAGCTTGGTGGCTGCAGCTTTTGCTTACTGAGTAGAAGATCGTGGGTTTACTCCCAAGCTCCTCCAAAATCAAACAATTCCTAAGGTCGCATCGCCTGCTTAAGCGAATCATGACCCAACTCCGTAGCATATATAGGGGCGTCGGTGAGTCGCTGGCCTCTCGTGAGGTAGATGGTATACCAACAATATCCATGCTTTCCCCGTAACGGACAAGATGGGACTGGCCGGCAATGGCTATTGTCATGCTTTTCCTGTTCTGAATTCTGAATGGAAGGCTATTCAGTCCCAAATAGTTTTCCTTAAGAAATTAGAATAAGGACATTAAAGTAGATACATGACAGTTACCAGTATGCAATCTACGAATCACTCCGTTGCAAACGTAACGCAACGATTTTTTTTAGCTTTTAGAACGATTCTGAGACTTCAACTTATTCGAATTTCTGGGTTTAAAAAAACTAATAGGGTTACGGGATGTGTAGGAAGACATTCCGCGCAACTACCATAAACCGGACTAGTTCATGTTGATCTTCGTCAAGCTTCGTCTACAAGTTGGACTTCTACATCAACACATGTCAGGCAGCCTTCAGGTTCAATTGGCTAAACTTGGTGAGTTCGTTCCATTTTATAAATTTTTATGTTTTCAAACCAGTTGGGAGATCACTTTTTTGTGGTGCGTTACTGATATAAGATCTACCACCGAAGCCTAGTCGTGACAACTTCAAACTAGGGAATCAGGATTTTCCAGTAATCAAAGGATTACATTTTAGTCCTTGTTACTTTTAATGATTTGATAATAGTGACAAGACTCCGGTAGTGACCACCGCCGTTATGCATTTCTATAATGTATATTTCAATTCAAAAATATTGTTTATGTCCATAGATTTCACATAATCCTTTTCCCTTTGTCCTTCTCCTTTTCCTTTCCCTCTTTTCTTATCAGAAAGAGAGTAATGGCGCCATAGTCATAAGTCATAAAAGGCTAGGACAAGAGTTAGCGCTCATGCCCCAACCGTCAGAAGAAAATGGAGCATCACTTAACCTTTCTAGCTTTGATGCTTCCAACGACCGACCAATCATATAATTACCAAAATCGGAACGTACGGTACGAGATGTCCACGTTTCATCCATTTATTGGATTCTAAAGCATCGTGCTTCGATTTAAACAGGTCCGGTGTTTTCCGCATCATCTTGCCCATTAAATTCTGCACAGTAGGCCTGGCCGTTTTGATATGTGTGACGCATCTTTGATGTGAAACATATATCAAATACACAAGAAAAATGGTGTAGGTATATATATCATTTTCCAGGATGCTTTCAAGAACTGGCTGAGTTGGTGTTAGATTAGATTGGAAAAAGATGTAAACAATCGGTGATGACAAAAAACTCCTAAAAAATTGCCATGAAAAACTACAAGGGACAGCCCTAAGGGGTTGTACGCAATGGTGACGTAGGACTACGTGGTTTTATATAATAAATCTTATTTGTTAACTGCAGCAGGAGCTTGTGTTTTGTGTAGGAATAGGAATTTGAGCGGGGTTCTCTCTGTTTATACTCTTTAGTATGACGCGCTTGACATAGATTGCTCACAGCGACTCACGAAGAGCTACTGATTCAGATCAATAGCGAAGCGGCTGCTTCCTCCTGCTATGGAAGCTCGGTGCTTGCAGGCAACCTTTCGTTGTGTACTGGAGAACTCCACCACTCACCACGTGGTGATTGAATAAACACCCATTGGTGAGACCGGATGGAATTCAACATTGAAATCTGTGTTAGGGAAATCGCTTTTCGCAGGCAATCGGCGATAATTTTAATTATCATAGCAACAGATGCACATTCGTGCAATTTTCAACAGTGGCATTTTGAAAAATAATAAAGTGTTAAACTTAACAGATGCGTAGAAATATTTCTGATCGATTGATGATAAAATTATTGAAGTATGTCCAGGGGCAGCTGACTTATTAACGTTCAAAATCTTTCATAATTTTGTTACATGTTCCATTTTTGGTTTTCACAAATGTACCCCCATATAGAAATCACAGACGTAGTCCTACGTCAAAAAGTGGAGTTTGACGTCACTGAAAGTATATTTCACCAAACACTATGACATGCTTTGCACTACACGAATACCATTTTACGATCGTTTCCTCACCGAAAAACCGGCATGAATGATCATACAAATTTCAAAGAAATTTCTGATCAAAGCACGACAAAAACCGAATTGTTCGCGGAAATTTTTTATCCTAAAGGGTGATACGGTCAAAATTTGGTCAATATCAACTTAACGTATTTCTTTCAATTTTGCATTTAAAAAACCTGAACACCCCTCATTTTGAAGGTGTGTGTGTGTAGAATGTTGCTCCTATTTTGATTTTGGAATTCACTCTTCAGTTGTCAAAATGCCGTCCAAGCAAGAAGAGCAGCGTATCAAAATTTTGCTCGCGCATCGCGAAAATCCGAGCTACTCGCACGCAAAGTTGGCAAAATCGCTAAAAGTTGCCAAATCAACCGTTACAAATGTAATTAAAGTGTTTGGGGAACGTTTGTCGACAGCCAGGAAGTCTGGATCGGGGGGAAATCGAAAACCGGAAGCCGCTGAGACGACAAAGAGAGTTGCCGGTAGTTTCAAGCGAAACCCTAACCTCTCTCTCCGAGATGCCGCAAATAAGCTGGGTGTATCGTCTACAACCGTGCAAAGAGCCAAAAAACGAGCCGGACTATCGACTTACAAGAAGGTAGTGACTCCAAATCGCGATGATAAACAAAATACGACGGCCAAAGCGCGATCCCGGAGGCTGTACACGACGATGCTGACTGCGTGGTAATGGACGACGAAACCTACGTCAAAGCCGACTACAAGCAGCTTCCGGGACAGGAGTTTCATACGGCAAAAGGAAGGGGAAAGGTAGCAGATGTTTTCAAGCACATGAAACTGTCAAAGTTCGCAAAGAAATATCTGGTTTGGCAAGCCATCTGTACCTGTGGCTTGAAAAGCAGCATTTTCATAGCTTCCGGGACTGTCAACCAAGAAATTTACGTGAAAGAGTGTTTGAATAAACGTCTGCTGCCTTTCCTGAAGAAACACGGTTGTTCCGTACTGTTTTGGCCGGATTTGGCATCTTGCCATTACGGTAAAAAGGCCATGGAGTGGTACGCCGCCAACAACGTGCAGGTGGTTCCCAAGGACAAGAACCCTCCCAACACGCCAGAGCTCCGCCCAATTGAGAAATACTGGGCTATTGTCAAGCGGAACCTAAAGAAGACCAAAAAAAACTGCTAAGGGCGAGCAGCAGTTCAAGGCAAACTGGCTTTCTGCGGCGAAGAAGGTGGACAAGGTGGCTGTACAAAATCTGATGTCAGGGGTCAAGCGTAAGGTCCGGCAATTCGGATTTGGAAAAGCGGAAGCCTAACTGAATATTTTTCCTGAATTTTATACTAATTGAACTTGAAAAATAAATTTAATTTGATTTTTTAAATAAACGATTTCACCGATTTACACGCGTTTTCCCTTGACCAAATTTTGACCGTATCACCCTTTAGCCACGAACACGCGTACAAAATTTATTAGTTGGTTCGTGTAAAATCTGTTTAGGAAAAATTATTTTGATGTAGATAAAACATGTCTATGGTTCTGACAGATGGGATCGCTGCACATTTGAATCGGCCGTTATAGATTCTCGATCAAGAGTTAAGTTTAGGTTTCATGTCGGTTTGTCGGTGGTTTCCTCACCTGTAAACACATTATTGAACGATAATGCTTTGTTAGAAATGGAAAGCAATAATGATTCTTCCACTTTTATCACGACAAACTGCCTTTGAAATATAGAAGGAAACGACCAAATTGTTGGCAAGCTGCTTCGCGAAGCAAAGCCGAAGATGATATACGTGTGTTAGTGGGAATTTGTTTGTTATGTCTTTTCTCTCTTTCGATCAAGCTATGTACTCAACCATATATATTGCAACAAAGCGGCAAGCAATATGTCATTATTATTTTACTCTGATGAGTGGGATCTACTCAGATTCTGGGTAAATGGTTCTGAAATCGATTTCTACTAAGTTCAAAATGGCGAACTTTGAAGATGTAAACAGGCGATTTTTGCGCTGTGAGTTTAAAATGAGTTTTTAGAGGTGAAGCAGTCAAAATGGAGCAGCTTTGTAATAGCGAAGACTATAAATCAAGAAGACTGGCAACTCTGCCCACGAGGTAGGTATTAATTCACACATACACGCAGAGAATTTTTGATGGTTTAAAACAAAAAATAATATTGTAGTGGTCAACTATCTCTTTATTATTGTTTCAATGGGGTATTTTTGTTCTAACATCTTTATTTTTTTTTAAATAACAATAGTATTTTTTGTTCTCTTGCTCAAATTTCCAAAGCATCAAAATTGTTGATTTAACAAAACGCATGGTTTATTTCAAGGGCAACATAAAATTAATTCAGATACCATGATTGTTGATTGAATTATATATATAGAAAAGATGTCGGTTGAAGAAATCGAGTTGATAAATTTATTGAATAGTTATGGAATGTCCGAACGAGTTATTGAAGCGTTTCTCGGTAGGTAGTATCCTTTTTCATTCAGTTACGATATCCTAACATTATTATTGCAGTTAATTGTTACACCATAAAAACATTGAAAATCATACAGAGGAAGGAAATTGAGGAACTCCTTCCTTCGCCGTTTCTTGCTGATCGAACCAGATTCATTCATGAATTGGACTCTTGGAGGGAGGCACAGGTAAATTATTATCAAATCATTCTTGTTTATTGCAACTAACTAGTTATTCCCTTTCATTACAGGGGCTTGCAAAAGTCAGCGAACAACCCGTTACTTGCAATTCATTTGTGACCCGAGACAACAACGCGCGGCCCTCTGAAGAGACTCAAGTGACTCGAGAAGCCTGTACTCCCACCTTCTTATTGAACGCGTCATCGAAAGGGCAAGCCATCCTAAGGAAGTACAGCAAAACCGCGTTCCTCTCCAGAGCTGACAAAAAAACTGTCACCCACATCGTTGTTGACGAGTTCAAAACCCGTTTCTCTAAGCTGTCATCGTCGAAACTTCTGGATAGAGCTTGTGAGCTGAAGCAATTATGGCATAATATACGCATCAAAACAATTTCTCACTTATTTAAAAAAAATAAAATACAAAATACCAGAAATTATGAAAACAACCATATTTATTTATTGAGCTAAATAATTTTTTATTTAAACCAAGAAAAAAAAAACATTTTGGGTCCAAAAATTAACTCTGTTCCTTTTAAACACCAGATATTGTTGTTTCTCAAAAAATCATTTTTGCTTTTAAAAAAAAATATTGTTACGTGATCGTATCATCCCACTTTTGAATTCAACAATAAATATTGTTGAAACGAAAGCATGATTATTGTTGAACCAAAGATATTGCTTTATAAGCCGGGAGATAATACAACTTTTTTGTTGAAACTATACTGAATATTGCTATGTTCATAAATATTTTCTCTGCGTGTAGGTATAAATTAATAACTGTCAATTATTGGTTTCTTTGCTTTATGCTGACAACGAGTAAAACTCCAGCTGAAATTGAACTGATGCGTTAATAAATTTGTATTGAAAATTAAAACTATGGCAATGATGCCATTCACAATGATGGTGGGACCTTCCTCGATCATTAATTTGATATCCCAGAATTATCTTCCACTTTTCCTAAGCCCTATAGTGATGTATTTATGGGCATTCGTAAAGTGCATTAGTAAAATGCATGCCCGTTTCGCTCGGCTTTGGCACCTGGCCACAGTGAGGGGGGTTTAAGTTGTGACACTCGGCAACTTGGCACAGTACTCGCTGACCAGTTGAATGTCACTGGCCAATCCGACACTGTTGTTATCATTTTCTGGAAGGGGTCAGTCAATTCCAAGAATTGTTAAACCATACAGTGGATTACATAGGCGTAGCCAGAGGGGGGCAGCTGCCCTCCCACCTAAACTCAGCAACACAAAGGCTTTCGGTGAAATGGCATGTGGTGAAATGGCATGTGGTGAAATGGCATTCGGCCAAATTTCCATAGTTATTTTGTTTTCGCCCCTCCCTAGCTCGAAACCTGACTACGCCCTTCGAGGATTACTATCCGGTGGTTTCATGTTCTGGTACCGGATCTGTCTGCTTTTTGAATCCTTGAATTTTCAGCGAATCCTTTAAATTTGTCGAACCTCTTAACGGAATCCTTTTATGAAGAGCTTTGAGTGGGTTGGTTTATTTCCTTTAAATTCCGTTATAATTGCTTATCTTTTGACAGATACGCGTATTTCGTCTACTACTTGCAGACTTCATCAGTGCCACGCTACTTCGTCGTATCATGGCGCCTATTTCCGTTCTATGTGCTAAAACTATAATAGCAAAGCGTTTTCACTCATGTTTTTGCAAAAACATATTTGCTTACAAGATTATTTACGATTGACACTGAAACATTTGCGATAACCCGTAAAATGAGCGATTTTAGGGGTGTATGACGAAGAATAGCTGAGATACGACGGACTAGCGCGGAGCCCTATCTAATGTCTGAAATTTAGAGATCTATAAGCCCCTAAATCTTGAAATTTCTGTTTTTGAAACTGCGATTTTTTTTAACTTTATTATTGAGATCTTTAACCAACGGGCTAGTTTATCTCAAGGTGAAATTGCGAAGTATGATATGAATGAGGACTCTTTAAACAAACCTTTGCTTCGAACAATTTTACGAATTTCCAGTTTGTTTAAATTTTCCGCAAATTGTCAACGATTAAGGATCTTATTTAGCGGAATTTTGATTAAAACATGATTTCAAAATCATATGATTAAAAGATTTTATAAACAACGCTGGTTTAATAACTCTTATTATTAAAAAGACTGACTGCTGAAGTTCATAGAAACTCCCTAAAGTTCGTAGAACTTCCCTGAAGCGTTAAGGTCTTTCCTGAAGGGTTCATTGAAGTTTGTATTGCCTGAATTTCATGGGACTTCCCCGAAGTTCTAAGGACTTTTTTTAAGATCTTAAGACTTCCCTGAAGTTCGAAGTTTTTTGAAATTCATAGGAATTTCTTAAATATCGTAGAAGTACCACGAAGTTCGTAGAAATTCTCAGAAGTTCGTAAGACTTCCTTCAAGTTCGAAGAGCTTTCTCGAAGATCTGAGGACTTCCCTGAAGTTTGAAGGACTTAACTGAATATATGAGGACCCTAAATTTAGAAGAGCTTCCCTGAAGTTCATAAGTCTTTAAATATCGAAGGGTTTTCCACAAGTTTGTGGGTCTTTCCTTAATTTCTTGGAAATTCCCTGAAGTTTGGAGAGCTCCCATGAATTTCGTAGGACTACCTGTAGTTCAATCGACGTCTCGGAAGTTCTAGGAACTTTTTTGAGCTTGGAGAACTATGTTAAGTTCAGAGGACATCGCAAGAGTATTGAAGACTTCTCTGAAGTTCGGAAAAATCCATAAGTGTCATAGGATTATCCTTAAGTAAGCAATGCCTAAATGTCATAGAAGTTACATTAAATATGTAGCAAATTCTGTAAAATTCGTAGTTATTCCCCAAAGATCTGAAATTTGTAGAACTTCACTGAAGGTTCGGAGAGATTTCCTGACCGTCGTCGGTCATCACAGTTGTTCACATGATTTTCCTGAAACTGGTAAGTCATAAACTGACGCGATTGGTCAAGGCGACGATGGATCGAGTGATGTGCGTTGGTCGAGTATCGGGGACACTCTCGAGTCCCTTTGAATCGCGAAGGGGGTTACGGCAAGGTGATGAACTGTCGTGTCTGCTATTTAACATCGCGTTAGAAGGTGTGATCAGAAGAGCAGGGATAGACACGAGTGTCTACAAGACGCTGATTAGACAGGTGGTCCTCTACGGCCACAATACCTGTACTATGCTCGTGGAGGACCAACGCGCCCTTGGTGTTTTCGAACGGAAGGTGTTGCGTACTGTCTACGATGGAGTGAAGATGGATGATGGAACGTGGAGGAGACGAATGAACCACAAATTGCACCAGCTGCTGGGAGAACCATCCATCGTCCTAATTGCAGAAATTGGGCGACTATGGTGGGCTGGGCACGTCGTAAGAATGCCGGACGACGACCCAGTGAAAACGGTTCTCGAAAGTGAGCCAACTGGAACAAGAAGACGAGGTGCGCAGCGAGCAAGGTGAATCGTCCAAGTAGAAGGCGACCTGCGGGCCCATCGTAGACTACGACGCTGGTGACGTGTGGCCATGGATCGAGTAGAGTGGAGACGACTTCTTCGGACAGCAGAGGACAACAAGTCCATAGTCTGAGGTAAGGTAAGTAAGACATACTAATTTGGCTCAGTTCCTATTGTTTGACTGTTACAGTTACAGCTACAGTAGCTCAGTAAAATTAATGAGGATGATTTGTTAAGTCTGGGAACACTTTCCAAGAGATGTTATGTGAACCTAGAGTGCATGTTTAGTATATATTTGTTGAGATTTACGGGGAACATCCAGGAGAAATACTTGAAAGAGTTCCAAGTTCCCAGAACTATTCTTAAGTTGCTGAACTTTTTTAAATCCATCTACATTTTAAGGCGATGGAAGCAGATTATATATAACATAAAATGATGAAATTGCTTTACCCTGTGCTGTGGTCGAGATTTGGAGTCGAAACATTTGATTTTATTGGACTCAGTATGTCCATAAATTTCCTGTAGTTTTCCCTTACAACTCTTCTTCTGAAGTAGTGTCGTGATGTTTTTATATTAAGTTCCTTGTAACTTTGCTGAAGCCTCCTATAGCACCCTATAATGTTTTGACACTTTCGGAGGTTTCCTTAATTGCTCAAAAATTCCCTAAACGTTTCTGAACATCCTTAAAATCACCGAATTACCTTAAAACTATTCGAAACTTTTATTTCAAGTCTTTATTAGGCATTTGTTGGCCGAAGGCTAGTTCATCTCCGAATATTCTGAACTTACCTGAAGTATCCTGCAGTAGTTCCTTGACATTCAAACTTGTTTCAAGTTCCACGAAATTATTATAAATTCCGCTACCTACATAGGTGGTTAAACCTAGAGTAAACTGAATGTCCAGGTCATTATCGGAAGTTTACTAAAAATTCTATGAAGATCACAAAAACTTTTCTGAAGTTTCCTGAAATTTTTGAATTTCTCTAAAACTTTTTCTGAACCTGTAATAGCTAACCCTACGTTTTAGCAGCTCTAGAGATGTCCAAGTAGTAACTTCAAAGACCTAGGATAAAGCTCATATAAATTCCAGGAATTTCAATCAATTAAATTGAATTAAGGTTTGGTGAACTCATTTCATATTGTCCCGAACTTGTCCGAAAGGTCCTATACCTTACCGTAGGTACTGTTAAACCCTCTTAATAGATACCGCATAAGAACACGTTTTGTTGTACTCGAAGAAAGACACAAAAATAAATAATACCGACAAACTGAAGAAATATTACTTTCATTCATCTGATAATTTAGCTTTCCCTAACTAGTCCAATTTCTTATCTCATAACGTACGTAGAAATAAGAGCAAAACAGAACCAAATACAGCAATGACCCGATTTTGTCAGCCCGTCCGAGCATCAGACTTTTAACTTTCAATAATTTCACATAACCGGATTTCCAAATTGTTATCATTCATCTTCAAGATGGATGTTTAAGGTACACCTTTGTACAATAAAGCCACTGAAAAAGCACATTGGGTTATTACTGTAAATCATATACATAATAAAAAACATAATATCTAGCAATACTCATCAAGCAGCACAACAGATTATATTGAGGGGAATCATCGAACGGATAGAACTGGAAATCCTAATCAAAACGATTATCAGTAACCTTCCAATGATTTCGGTTCACAACTATGTGCATTGATCAAACTCGAAATCCAATCGAGCGCGTTACAAATCAAGCAGCAGGTTCGGTGGCATTTTTGTAGGTGTCACACACACGCAAACACGAAACGAAAAAAAAAATAGATACAGTAAATCCAGCATTACAGAAGGTACTCACATGAAGGTGATGATAGTCTCCGGACTGGTCCGCCGGGTGCGGCGGTTTGTACTTGCCGCAGCAGAAGTTACAGCAACAGCAGCAACAGCAACAACAATAGCACCCGGTAATGATACCGCAAATCAGGAAGAGTGCCTACAATATATATATTTTTTTCGAGAAAGGATTAAATGCTTAAAAAACCGATAACGCTTATCTGGACCCTTACCTTACACGTCGGTGACGTGACCATGAAGTATGCGTTGACATTCTCTTCGCCGAACTGCTCGGCAATGTACAGCCCGAGGGAACCGTAGTTGTCGTAGATGTTCCGCTTCGACAGGTCACTGAGAATGGAATGCGCTCGGTTTACCTCTTTGAACTGCGGACAATTGTTTGAGGGGGATTAATTTTGGGTAACATTTTGAAACTATTACGTATTGCGCGGCGAACCTTATCGGCTGCATCGGGATTGTTGGGGTTCTTATCGGGGTGATATTTGAGGGCAAGCTTCCTGTATGTCTTCTTGATGTCGTCTGCTGTGGCGGTCTTTGGCAAACCTAGAGTTTGGTACAATGTGTCGCCGGCCGTGCTGGAAAATCAGGGAAAGGAAGAAGATGGTGAATGTGGATTTGCTTGTATTTTTAGGCAATGAGTTACTTGAGCTTTGCACTCTATGAAAAGCGTGGACGTCTATATTAAAAAAAATCTTACTTACAAAGAAAGAGAATACAAGAATTCCCAGGATCGACGGGAAGTTCACATAGTTGCTAGAGAAAATTTATATCACTTTTATATTGGGTCACAGGACTTCTAGGGAACTGTACAGAATTTCAAGTAAATTCAACAGCACTTTTACGATACCTCTTCAAAAACTGAAGAATAGTAGAATTTTAGACTAATTATTTCCTTTATTTTACGTCGGTCTCTGTTCCGCAATCCTGTTGCGCAATGAATCACCAACGGCAGTCGAGTCCTGGAGAGGTGACTGCACATCTGGAACCTATCGACACATGGACCAACGGCTTTACTTCCCTTTCGAAAGAAGACGTTATCAGAGAGTTTTCGCCTCAGAAAAATTCCAACGATCTTGGTTGGGATTGAACCCAGACACACTGGGTGAGAAAGCAGTCACGCTTCCCGAGCGAAGTAGCCAACTTTTGTACGTTTCAGAAAAAAAGGAAATTAGTTGGTCCAGTTTTATGAAATCGCTCGTAGAAAGTCACGCCAAAACTGCTTGACAAAGTGGTCAATTGTCGCGACATAAGTTTGATATCATATTGTGCTTTCATTATGCAGTCAAGAGTTTTGAATTGAAAGAAACGTAACTTCAAGTTCTGCTAATAACGTCTTGTTGAAAATGTAATTTAAGTTCATATGTCGTTGAACTAACGATTATTATTTTTTTGTTTTGTTTAGCACATTCAAGTTCAACTCAAGTCAAGCATGAATACTAACTATTTAGGGGTAAGAGGGGCATAGTGAACAGATGGGGCATAGTGAGCATCCCGTGCACCAGCTTGGACTTCCGGCCGTTCGGAACAAATTGGTTGGTAGTAGGTCAATATCATAATGATCTTGAACCTACTACCAGTTGATTTGTTTCATGCAGCTGGAGATCCAGAGCCAAACTGCGGGATGCTCACTATACCCCTCCTCCCCTACGTCATGCCCATATTCAAATTCAATATTATCAGTTGACACTTAGCCCTTACTGTGTACGGACGAGTAATACTACGGCAGAGAAAAAAGTAACTGTTGTGTTTTTTTTTTACTATTTCCGGACACCCGTCCGATGAGTTTGGCTACTCTTTTCCGAAAGGAACCAGCACACAACACAAACATGGCCAACCGCCAACTATGCGTGATTGACTTCAGTGTCATGCCAGCAAAACCCAAACCGTCCTGAGTGGACGATTTCATCGCGAAAGATGTTCAGCTTGATTGGAGCAAAGTGCGAGGATTGCAGCTCAACAACATCACATCGTACGTATTCATCAAGATGGATACAATAGAATCTGCAGAACAATTCGCTGAAGAGCACAACCTCAAGCACACGATGGAGTACAAAGACATCACCTACTGTATTCCGTTCTTCATTGTCGATGGAGCAACGGATGTTAAGCTGCATGATTTGCCGTTTGATATGCCAAACCATATTATCGCGGAACAGATGACGCAGTTTGGTGAGGTGTTGTCGATAAAAGATGACCACTGGAGGAACCTTTTCAACAAGGTTCCTAATGGAGTGAGAATAGTTCGAATGCGCATTTGTAAACCTATTCTGTCGTATGTGACAATATCCGCAGATATCTCAGATATATGACCCTCGTCGCACACAAAAACCAGATCCCCACTTGCCGTCACTGCAACCGAAGGGTGCACTACACCATGAAGTGCATCGGTGCATCGTAGTCTAGATTCCCGTTTGATCTCTCTCCAGATAGGGCAGGTCACCTTTGTGAATGTTTATGCTCCATCTGGTTCACAAAACAGAAGTAACCGCGAAAGCTTCTTTAGTTCCATCGTGCCATTTTACTTGCAACGGGCATCTAATTATATAATATTTGGAGGTGACTTCAATTGCGTGGTGAACGAAAGGGATGCAATCGGCTCCGGTAACCAGAGTCCAACGTTGAAACGATTGATGACTTCAATGAAACTCACCGATACGTGGACACATCTGAATGGAACTCGAGTAGAATATTCATTACTGCGACACGATTCTGCGTCACGATTGGACAGGATTTTGGTAGGCGCAACCATGCGGGGATGGCTAAGGAATGCTTACTTCTGCACTACTGCTTTCACCGATCACAAGGCTTACATCGTACGGATAGTTTTACCGGACCTTGGCACATCAGCTGGTAGAGGTGTGTGGAGTCTTTTTACGAAAGTTTTGGACGAACCTGAAGCATTCACCGAACTTGAACGAAAATGGATATACTGGGTACGAAACAGAAGGCATTATGCAACATGGATGGATTGGTGGATCACTTTTTGTAAGTCGAAACTGATTTCTTTTCTCAAATGGAAAACATCGCTGCTCTTCAACGATTTTCGTGGAACCATGGAAATTTATCAAACTCAGCTTTCGCACGTGGTTAATCGATTACCTGGAAATCCGCACGAACGTTCTAACATCAATCGCATCAAGGGACAAATTCTCCAACTACAGCGAAATTTCTCATCAAAGCTCCGAAGGAACAATTCATCTTATATAGGTGGTGAGCATCAACTTGCTCGAACTTCGAGATGGCAACGTTACCATGGATATAAATGAAATTCATGCTGAAGTCTCCCGTTTCTTCAATCAACTGTATGCTGCTGGTGAAACCTCTAATACTGCGAGGTTCTTGCCGACTAGAAGTATCCCAAATGATATCGAGGAAAACATATCGATCATGAGGAATGCTGAGGAGGAGGAGGAGGTCTTCGCTGCAATTAAATCGAGCTGCTCAAAAAAATCCCCAGGCATTGACGGATTACCCAAGGAATTTTACCTGAAAGGCTGGAGGATAATTTCGAGGTAATTCACACTTGTCATAAACGACGCCTTGTCAGGTAACGCTCACAAAAACTTTCTTGAAGGTATATCAGTTCTTGTACGGAAAGGGGTAACAAAAAAGATATGTCCGCCTTTCGTCCCATTTCTTTGTTAAATTTTGACTTCAAAACCGTCTCGCGGATCCTGAAGCAGCGCATGGAAAAACTTGTTCCACTGGTGCTATCCGCTGATCAGAAGTGTTCGAATGGCTCCAAAACTATCTTCGAAGCAACGACAAAAATCTGGGATAGGATATCTGAATTGAAGCACCGGCATCACAACGCGCTGCTAGTTTCGTTTGATCTGGACCCCGCGTTTGATCGCGTTGATCATTCATTTCTTCAGCAAACAATGTTAAGAATGAATTTCAATCCGGCACTAGTAGAACTCATCAAAAAGTTCATGGAGAATTCTTTTTCGAGGATATTAGTGAATGGTCATCTAACTCCCGAAATCCACATCCCGGGTTCGGTCCGTCAAGGAGATCCCTTGTCAATGTTACTTTTTGTACTGTATATGCAACCTCTACTCTATTGGACGTATTAAGGCGAGCTTTTCCTGGTGTGATAATTAATGCTTACGCAGATGACATCTCGATGTTCCTGGAAAACGAAGGAATGTTAGTGCAAGTCTCTGAGCTGTTCACAAACTTTGGTGAAGAAGCAGGAGCAATTCTCAACCGAAGCAAAACTGTGGGTTTAATGATAGGCAACATCAACTTAACTGAAGCTACCGAGTGGCTCTCAATTGAGAACCACGCCAAGATCCTAAGTATCTTTTATTGCGAGAATACCCGAACTGCCAGAGATCTCAACTGGAATTCGATCTTATCGGGTATGAAACAGCGGATTTGGGAACAAAGTACCAGAAACTTGTCACTTACTCTAAGAGTGACACTACTAAACACGTATGTGTGCTCAAAAATGTGGTACGTGGCCTCTATCGTGTACTTGCCAAAAAACTACGAAGTTCGCATTATAACTGAGCTGAGAAAGTTCCTGTGGATGGGGCACCCTCAACAGTTCAAGATCTCCTTTCAAAATCTTCCGCTTCCCAAAACCCGTGGTGGTTTAAACCTACACACTTAAACCAGCGTTGAAATCAAAAGCTCTTCTACTGAATCGATTGGTAAAGTCATTTGATCAACTTACACTGCTAGCCGATTTTCTGGAAGGATCTGGTAATCCACCGAACGTCCCAAGTATCCCTGCAGAATTTCAGCACGCTAGGTTGGCATTGCAGGAAATGTCCACCGACCTTCATCGACTCGCAGATAAACTGAAAAGCGGTCTTTAAAAACATTCACTCCAGCCTGCTTCCAGCTGAGCAACGGTCAGCGTGGTATCTCATGATACATGAGAGGATTCCCCACAACCAGCTTCTTCATCGCCAACATCCAACAATCGACCCATTATGTGCCTTATGTCCAGGAGAAATTGACACTATCGTTCATCGCATCTTCAAGTGCACAAGGAGTCGTAATGTCTGGTTCTATCAGAAGCCTTTATTAGCTCATCTAGACCCTAGGCTTCGTCGCATGGAACCAGAAAAGTTTATGTATCCAGTCTTCTCAACATTTACAAGAGCAACAAAACAATCTTTGATTAAACAGTTAGGCAAAATGTTCCTTTATTAAGCTAATACAAATTTTGCAGATGTTAGCGTCGAAAACTTTAGAATTTTTATAGAATGTATGTAACTTTAATATAACTGACAATAAAACATAAAGATATTATAAAAAAATATTATGAATTCAAATGCAGTTATCAAATTGATGTCATTGAAAGCAGGATAAGTTTTCCGTTTGATTCAACAGTGTAACATTTTGCTCTCATTTTTATTGTGCTCACCGTTAAGTCAACCAAAATGAGATCAACTGGAGTACCTAGGTACCTATTTCAAAATAAGTTACATCATAACAACAAATTTTAATTTCTATTTGATCTCAGCTTTGCTCGGGTTACCACTCAACCAACGGTGCCGCCCATTTTAGACAAATTCTCGATTACTTTTTCGAAGGGACGTATTTGCTTTTGTAAACAATG